ATGGATAATAGATACCTCTTCACCGTGAAACATGCCTTCCTTACATTTGATAGAATCACTGCTCTTTCTTAATAGAATAAAGCATATTTTAGGTATTTTTTTTTAATAAAGTTAATGTGTCCTGCACTAACACTAACCTTCCCCCTAAACCACATTGGAAACTCGTTATGTTTTTCATTTATATTGGACAAACTTTCCATCTCAAGTAAACCAATGTGTTCACTACGAATAAGGGAAAGAATAAGAAAATATTAACTAAATGAAATAACTTTAAATTTGAAATTCAATTATATGATCTTATAAGCAGAAACATACTTACTCAATATATGATTCAACTTCATCGCAATTACTCAATACAAACCATTCAACCTTATCAAGTTCTTCCTTAGTCAATTTTTCATAATTCCAAGCACCAAATGGACAAACCTTATGTGAAAAAATTGACAACCCACCATGTGTTTCTTGTTTATCATTATTTCTATCTGGTTTGTTGAAACGAGTCTCTACTCCATCAAGGTATAGAGAAAGAAAAGTTAAGCATTCATTTGCAACATAACCCTCAACAATTGAGCCTTCGGGATGAACTTTATTTCTCACAAAATGTTTAAGTGTGCTTAAGAACCTACAACAAGAATAAAGTTTTAGTCTTTTTACATTATATCACAATAGTATAAGCATTGGTAAATTAAATCGAGAGTTAATGAAATTATTATATGAAGTATCACCTTTCAATCATAAACATCCATCTAAATTGCACTGGTCCACCTAGGGCAGCTTCTTGTGGGAGGTGAATTGCTAAATGTACCATGACATTAAAGAAAGCCGGTGGATAAATCATCTCTAACTTACAAAATATGATCACAATATCATTGCGAAGCAGCTCTAAATCTGCTAACTTTAAGGTCTTACAACACAACTTCCTAAAGAAATCACCTAACTCAGATAACACAGTGGTAACTTCTTTTTCAAAGCTTCCACGCACTCCAATTGGTAATACTCTTTGTAATAAAGCATGACAATCATGGCTTTGTAAACCTGTAAGTTTACCATCAGCATTTACACATCTAGAGATATTAGAAGCATAACCATCTGGAAACTTAACAGATTTCAAAAATTCTGCAAACTTCAATCTATCTTCTCTTGTTAACATGTAACATGGATGTGGAACTTCATATGATCCATCTAATTTCTTAACCAAATGCAATTCCTTCCTAATATTCATATCATCTAAATCTTGTCTTGCTTTCAAAGTGTCCTTATTTTTTCCATCAATATTTAGCAAAGTTCCAATGATATTATCACATACGTTTTTCTCAATATGAATAACATCAAGATTGTGTCTCAATTTCAACGTTTTCCAGTAAGGATATGAATAACATCAAGATTGTGTCTCAATTTCAACGTTTTCCAATAAGGAAGCTTGGAGAAGATACTCTTTTTGCACCAATTAAGGTCTTCAGGATTTCGTTACCTTTTTCTTTTGTTTGGATGTTTTTCAAATGGATTGTCACTTACTTCATGTAGTTGGCTTAACACTTCCTCACCAGATAACTCAAAAGGGGGAGTCGACTCTCAACTTTCCCATTAAACTTCTTGCTTTGCCTCCATGTGTGGTTAGTGGGCAAGAAACGACGATGACCTGGCCTATATATCTCAACTTACTCCTTAATCTTACAGAACACACACGGGTCATCATTGCAAACTGGGCAAGCCATGTATCCTTTAGTAGACCATCCAAATAAGTTGACATAAGCTGGAAAATCATTTACAGTCCACAGAATAGAAGCATGCAATTGAAAATTTGTTAAAGAACAAGCATCATATGTTGTCACACCTCTTTCCCATAATTCTATGAGATCTTCAATTAAAGGTTGCAAATATAATAAACATCAATATCTCTACCAGGTGCTTTAGGACCAGGAATAAGTAATGTTAACATAAAGAATGGATCCTTCATGCACATCCATGGCTGTAAATTGTATGGAACTAATATAACAGCCCACATGCTATAAGAATTATCCATATTACCAAATGGGTTAAATTCATCCGAAGCTAACCCAAGCCTAACATTCCGTGCTTCATTAGCAAACCATGGAAACTCTTGATCAAAATCTTTCCAAGTTTTCGAATCGGCCGGATGACGCAAATATTCACCAACATCAATTCTTCTTTCTTTATGATCAAAATCGTTCCAAACCTTAGAACAGTTCTAGCAGTTACTAGTAACAAGATTGAACATTGTTTAGACTTGTTGGATGTTTCTAGATGCTAGATGAGAAGGTGGCGAGGGGCGTTGTAGTGTTGGGCATTGCGGATACCAGGAGGGGTCGCAAACCTAGTATGGGCCGAGCTTGGCATGAGTCACGGCTAGTGTGGCGGATTGCTTGGGACGAAGTAGTTCGTGAACATTTGTTTACATACGTATTATTTTATATTTTAAACATTCTTGTTTTAGGCGGTAAATTTTGGCATATGATTTATTAATTTTCAAGTGATTTTTTAAACTATCAATTATTAGTTATATTTTTTTTTAATGTTTATATATAACAAGGATATATTAGAGATAAAGTGCACTACACACTAGTACATAGTACACCTCTGAAATATACATAGAGATGTGCATTCGGTTAACCGTTCAGTTAACCGAACCGAATTAATAGAAATTTTAAAGCGTTAACCGTTAACTAAACCGAACTTTTTATTTTAAATTCTTAAAATTATAAATATAATTAACATTTTTTTATTACAATGGAAGGGGGACACCCACATACACAAGCTATGCCTGTATCGAGGCTCAAACCCAACACTTCCCACATAGGGGAGCAACTTGGTACCATTGAACCACAAGGTCTTTGGTAAATATAAATTAACATTACCAATTACATCAATACCTATAATAATAAATATATACAAAAATAATACAATAACAACACTACAAATATTAAAGTACAAATTTAAAAAGTGTAAGTAAAAATAATAGTTAACCAGAAAAAAAAAATATATATATATATATATATATATATATATAGAATTTCGGTTAATTGATATTTTGAAACCGAATTAATCGTTAACCGAAATTCTACATTTAAACATTAATCAAACCAAAATATTTCGGTTAAGAAAGGAGTAACCAAAATTCTTCAGTTCGGTCGGTTAATCAAACTTTTACCAAAGTTTGCACACCCTTAAATATACATGGTGCAAAAAATTACTAAATTACTACATAGATTTTCATGCGGTTGATCTCAACTCACCCTATAATTCTGATATGTCTACACGACCACATGTGAGAGCATGCCGACACCTGAGCATATATATATATATATATATATATATATATATATATATATATATATATATATATAGACACTACTGGAAATTCTGAAATTTCCGACCACCTGAAAGTTATCTTAAATCAAGTCGAAAGTCTTGTTCCGATCATTTTTGGTATCCGAAAAAACCCTTGTTGCTATTTCCGACCATTTTTTGCTTTCAAGACCACTTTCAGGTGGTCGAAAATTCAATAATTTCCACTACTGAGAGAAAGAGAGAGAGAGTGTGTGTACTATTTCTAGGATTGTAATTGTAATTTTGTATAAGCCAATTACTTAGTCTTGTTGGGAGCTCTGCGATTTTTAAATCCAATCGGCTCCCAAATCAAATCTCAGTCACAGCAGCCCTTTGTGCCTCATTTAAATCCTGTAGAGCATAGATGAATTAGTGCGTGGATGCCTTTGATTTTAATGTTGGGTAACTACCACGCATTCTCAATGGTTGTCTTGCTCATAAAGGTGGTGGTGCATTCATAGGAGACGACACACTACTAAGGCCTGGCCCACCTCAGCACTGGTATTCCCAGAACTTTTCTTGGTTTTTTTATACACTGCTATCTGTTTTTACCGAATTTCATTTAGTCTCTTCCGAGGGTTTTCAACTTAACACAAATGAACAAACAAAAAAAAAACAAAAAAAAAATGTTAGATTAGATACTAGATAGTACACTTGAAAGACAGAATTATGCACTACTAGGTAGGCAAGGAATTATGCATTTGAAAGGCAGGAAAAGATACACTTGAAGCATCAATCCAACGTAATGGTTATTGCTAAACACACACAAAAAAAAAAAGTGATAATAAACCCTTCAAAAGGCCAAAATTACAGTAAATATTAAGCACACTAAAATACAGAGGGTTATGCACTTGAAGATTAAATATAGGTACACTTGAAGGCACAATAATATGTACTCGAAGGCACAAAATTATGCACTAGAAGACACAGTAACGCACACGGAAAAGAACAACAATGTGCACTTAGAGACAATAGTATAAACTCGAATAGAATAAATTATACACTCATCAATACAAAAGAATGCACTTGAGGACAAATAATGATGCACCCAAAGAAAAAAATATGCACTTAACGCTCTGGGCTCAGTGTAACTAATATTATACCCTAACAAAATAATTTATCACAATAACACAACAACTAAAAATATAAGACCATAAAAATAAAACCAAAACTACTTAAAAACATATGGAAATTACGGTTTTATAATTCTCACACCAATATAGATCTTTTATGATGATTTATTTCTTTCTGCAAATTCTTTACAAACAATTTTACCCCACTAAAGAACAATTTACTTGAATCAGCTAGTTGGCCCTGCATGATCATGCACTATTATCCCTTAAAAGAGATCGGGAGCTCAAAACTTTATCTCGAATGAAACCACCACTTTGCACCTTAATTGGATTGATCCAATTACAAATTTCTTGTAGTGCATGCATACATTAGTAGCCCTAAGCACAAGCTTAAACATGTCCAAGGATACCTTGCTCAAGTCAATAGTCGCAAATAATATCATAACAACTCCTGAAAACATACATACTAGCTTGATAAATATAAACAGCTTGCAAATCATATTATATTATAGAAAAATTATCAAAACACATTTTAATAATGTATAACAAAAACTCAAAATATATTTAGTTAAAATCTTAACATCAATCCAAATAGATATACAAAGTAGTAGAGATTCAAAGTGTAAAAGAGATAAACTTGATAGTTTTTGCTCAAATGATCTTAATTGGTCGGACTGTTAACTTAGTAACCATAAGATTACAAGTAGGTACGACTCCCATCTAGTGGGACCGGAGCGGCGGCCTTACCCGGAAGCACGATGATGTCACCATTTTGACACCTGATCAGCATGTGGATCGGAGTGTCACATATTCCACTTGATCTATTCAACTTTGAGACTCGGACAGTTTACGATCTTCAAAGACTCCAGCCTACTTAAGAGGTGATGTGGCACTGTCTTAAGTTCCCTGCAATAGTTTAGTTCCAACTCCTTGATGCATGGCATTATTATTATTGTTGCTTCTTGTTTGAAGTCTTCCCACTCCTCCCACTCCGAACAATATGAGAAGATCAATTTCTTCAGCTTTGGAAAAGCAACACCACCTACTTGTGCTACTCCCAAAAACTCACTCCCTACATATCTTAGCTCTTTCATTTCCGCTATCAAAAGAGTCTCCAGAGAAGGCAGTTTGCCTAATGGAGGCAAAGATGAACAATTTTCGCACCCCCAGATTTGAAGAATCCGTAGATTATCAAGGGACAGTGTAATCCAGGAAGGGAAGTGGGTTCCTCTGTACCCAAGAAGTTCCAAGATTTGCAGTTCTGGAGGTGGTTTCAGAGCCTCCATCACATCTACTCCCACATCGACTGATCCCGGACTAAAATCCAAACACAATTTTTTGATGTGCTTCTTGTTTCTCAATTCTGCTTTCTCTGCTTCCTCCACATCTGCTGCGTTATTCAGATCGCACAAAACAATAATTGACAGCTCCCCTTTGAGTTGGTTCAGCTTCTCCATGTATCCCAACTTACTTGACTCTTTCCCCACCTTAAACTCACTTAAACTACAAAGCTGAGTTAGCTTTGCGATACCTTGGGGCATCATCTCCAGCCTTTCGGTGCTTCTGATGTTAAGGTGTCTCAAGTTTATCAAATTGCCAATCCCTTTGGGTAGCCTGGAAAGACCTTCACATCCCTCAAGATCTAAAGTTTCCAAGTTCTCCAAAGAACAAATTGTATCGGGCAACTTCTCTACTTTACTCCAACTTAAATTAATGTACCTTAGCTGACTCAAATCTCCAATCTTATGAGGTAGTCTAGAAAATCGCTTACATCCACTAAGATCTAAAGTTTGCAAGTTCTCCAAAAAACAAATTGTATTAGGTAACTTCTCTACTTTGCTCAAACTTAAATTAATGTACCTTAACTGATGCAAATTTCCAATCCCTTCGGGCAACCTAGAAAAATCATTACATCTAAGATGTAAAGTTTGCAAGTTATATAAAGAACAAATTTCATCCGGTAACTCCTCTACATCGCTCCTACTTAAATCAATGTACCTTAGATGAAGCAAATTTCCTATCTTCTTTGGGAGTTTTTGCAACTCACATTCATGCAATCTTAATACTCTCATAGATTTCAGACCATTGAACAAACCAGGAGTAAGTTGTTCGGGAGAAAGGCATTCAGCAAAAAAACTGCGAAGTTTTCCAATATCATAAATGGAAGTGAGATTTATATTCCTACCAGTGTTCTGCCATGACAGATGACGAAGATTTTTAATCCCGACCTTATCCTTGTGCTGGTCAATACTGTAGCATTCATTTCTGGTAAGAAAATGGGCAAAATCATGCACTATGTCATGCATTTTGCAAGATATGATAATGTTGGAATCCATCTCATCTTTCTTCAAATCTTGGAAGAAAGAGCGCATTGCTAAACCCTCAAATAACTCCCTGCCTTTTGATTCCATGGTCACATAACCTTGTGCCATCCAAATTCTGATGAGCTCATCTACCTCTATTTCATAATCTTTGGGAAAGACAGCACAGTATGAGAAACATTGCTTCATATTTGGGGTCAAATCATTGTAGCTTAGATACAAATGAGGGAAGAGGTCTGTTACCACTTCCTCCAACTCCCAAACTTTATTGTCTAAAACATTTTGCCAATCATCTTTAGTGTGTTTGAAACATAGCAGGCTTCCCATGACCTTAGCAGCAAGGGGCAATCCTTTGCACTTTTGAGCAATTTTCTGACCAATATCTTTCAGTTTCTCACGATCCTCTTCCCTTCTTCTGGAAAATGCTATCCTGCTAAGCAACAACCAAGCTTCTGAGTCAGATATTAGATCCAACTGATGCAGATACACACTTCCCATCATTGTAGCAACCCTCTCACTCCTAGAGGTCACCAAGATTCTACTCCCGGGGAGTCCATACTTGAGAGAGTTCTTCAATGGCTCCCACTTTGCATACTGCTCTGTCCACACATCATCCATCACAAGTAGGAACCTTTTCCCAGACAAAGTGCTTTGGATCTTTTCCAGTAACAGTTGGAGTTGGGAAAGATCCGTGGAGCTTTTAGTGGTTGACTCAACAATGGCTTTTGCAATCTTGATCTGGTCAAAAGGGTTGGAAACACAAATCCACACCCTTTCATCAAAATGAGTCTTGATCTGTTCATCCCCAAAGACTAGTAGAGCAAGGGTAGTTTTCCCTATTCCTCCCGTTCCCACTATGGAAATCACAGGGGGACCATTTTCATTTCTTGCTTCTTCTTCTCCAGAATTCTCCACTAACTTGCCTATTAAAGCACTGGCATCGGATTTCCTACCTTGAGTCTCTGAAGCATCCACATCAAACGCAGTGGTGACTCGCATCAATTCTTGATGATCAGAGTGTGATGATGCTGCAGAAGTGTGTGTTATTGATGCATAATCAAATTTGAACTGATCTTTCTCTTTCGTAATCCGATCAAGTGTTGAATCAAGCTCCTTTATTTTCTTGGCGATGTCTCGATGCATAGCAAACCTATGGAAACGCGAAGGCAGGAAAGAGCTGCGACTAAACTTTCTACCACTTACCTTTTGGCTCTCGATCTGTTGTCTCAGAGTTCTGGTTCTCCACTCGTCCAGAACATCGTCCACTTGGTAGGAGAAGTCTTGGATATTTTCGATCCAGAGCTTGATGCCCTTTTCCTTAAAGCTTCTCTTCTCTGCATCATCCAATACCTCCCTAATTTCCTCGAGCTTTGATGAGAGGTTTGCGATCTCCTTCTCCACACCCAAAGCTCTTTTTAGCTCATGGGCTTGGTGCTTCAGTATGTTGATCAGCTCTTCTACAACACTGGAGATGAGAGCGTCGGCCATGGTGGTTGACTCTGTAGTTGAAACGTACTTTGAGAGATGATAAGGTTTGCTAATTGATTAATTTGGTTTGAAAATTTGATTATTAACTTATATATATATATACCACCATTGACTCAGTAGCCACCATTCTCCGATGAGGACTACTCTGTGAGTATGGGACCTAAGAGAAGGAAAGATTTGAATGCTTGATGGGATGGGACATTGGGACAAACGTCCCCAAGAATTAAAATATAAAAAATAAAAAATATGCGAGATTTCTTACCGTGCACTAAACTGCATAGCGCACACTTTAAGACATGAAGAATTGAAGAGTAAGCTGGCATCAAAAAAAATAATCTTTGCAATATTTTGATACCGAGTATTATTTAGGGAAAAGGATCAAATAAGTTCATGTATTAATATTGATTGTTTATCTAACACAATTAATTAAATATGATCCATCAAAACTATTATACTCCAATTATTTTTTATCTAGAATTTTTAGTTAATTATTAACAAGTAACTCATCTAATTGCTTATATGGAAAAATAAATTAAAAACAAAATTCTGACATGTTATTTATATGGATGCTTTGGATGATTTCTACCCTGGCCTATTTCATTACAAAATGATTGTACACTATTCTTATTATTATATCATGGCCGACTTTGCTTGATTATTGGCTAAACTAGAATTATTACTTTGTCATTTTGTTGGAGATGATGTATAAATGCTTCTTACTGCATGAAAATCATTCAAATAAATTGTTACACCATTGATCATTTAAATATGTAAGCAATTAAATCATTTTATTATAGAAAAACTATTGTAAGAGGTTGTTACAGAGGTAGAACATTTAATTAGGTCAACCTAAGTTCTTTTAAAATGTTTTGTAAAGTCAAATCTCATACATTGTATCATAAAATATAATACATTCATTAGTAAGGTTGAAACAATGTATAGAGGTGAATAATGCCAATAAATGCTAAATAAAATTTGGGGCAGGATCATAATTTTATGTGTAGTTTGATAGTAACTTTATGTGTAGGCCGGGGTACGGTGTATAAATGTTAACACATAAGTAATATTAATAACAAATTTTAACATGTAATATTAATAAGAGTTAATTACCAAAATGGACCTTCAACTATAGTAAAAGTACCGACTTGGTCCTCGACTTTTTTTCTTGACCGATTCAGTCATCAACTATTCAATTTTTGAACCATATGATCCTCCATCTATTTGGGTGTTAGATGACTGTTTGTTTTGAGGGCAAAATAGGACTTTTGCTATAATCTAGGGAGCAAAACGGTAATTAACTCACAAAACATTTTAATGTTTCAAAATTGACTGAGGAAAAAGTTGCTGCAGTTCAACGAAACAACAGACTTTACCAAGAACTGGTTAGGCCTTTATGTTCTGTAGTCTCTTCTTGTTTCAAATATTTGAAAATTTCCTTCACTCTTAGGCAGTTTTAACATTTAACAATAAGTAAAGGACAGAAACACTGAAGTGATTCTACTCTCTACTATTTGGTGTAGTTTTTTCTTGGCATTTTGCTTGCAATGGGTTTAACTAGGTGTACATGCAGGAACTGTTGAAGTGCGACATCCACAAAAGTCACAGTGGTGGCGTTTCATTCATGTTTGTCATCATTATCGGCTTGGTTGGTGTAATTTTAGGTTACATTGTGAAGAAATGAGTACTTAAAAAGGCAGGTTGGGCACATCTTTCACTCCCTCAATGTGTTGATCCTACATTGTTGCTTGCCCCTTACAGAAATTTGGGGCACGTGGAATGAAAAAGAATTCTTGAAACTGTACTGTTAGCTCAAATTAAACTGTAGTGGGTTAGAGAAATTTACTTAGCTAGGGTTCATAATTCTATTTTCTCACTCTTTATTTTTTGCAGAATAATAAGATGGCTGGAAGATGATGAAGAGTACCTGAAAGCAGCTTCCCTTCCAAGAATTGAGTTTCTAATATTTGAGATGTCGCGTAAGTGGAAGAAACGAAGTTTTGATAGTGAAAACGTCCCTCTAGTATCCAATCGTAGCTCTTCATTTCATTCATGGTTTATGTTCTTGTTTAATTTGCAGCTGTTAATGACATCGACACCAGCGGCATCCACGCCCTGGAAGAGCTGCACAGTAGCCTACAGAAAAGTAATGTTCAGGTAACTAACCATCAGTGCATGAGATAGAAAAAACGGATATCGATCGAGTTAAAATTTTGATTCTGTTGTTATTCATCAACATATATACAGCTTGTTCTGGCAAATCCAGGAAGAGTGGTGATTGACAAGCTTCATGCATCCAAATTTACCAACCTCATTGGCGAGGAGTTTGAGGACAAAATCTTCCTAAGAGTAGCAAATGCAGTGCTGTTAGGAATATAGCGGAAGCGAAGAATTGAAAATTGAGAATTATAGAAGTTGAATAATAGGGAAAGTATATTAAAAGACAAAATTATTAGGAATAAAGGAAAATATATATATTATCACTAGAAAGTGATTACAAGAGTAAATATATATATATATGTATGTCAACGTGGGGACAAAAGAAAGAGAAAGAATTCAATATTGATGTAAGAATGAGCAATCTACAAAGCAAAACAATACTGCCTATTTATACACTCAAAAGAAGAGAAAAAAAAGGGGGATGCAAAGGATGAGAGCTAAACACGGAAGAATCGTGTAGGAACATGAAGCCATATTGCAAGAGACACAGTCTTCATAGATTTGAGACATAAAAATATTATTTTCTAACAATCTCCACCTTGGATCAAATTCAATGTAGGAATTAACAACTGGAACAACCAACTAAATTCAAGCATTGTTTGAACTTAGTAATAAGTAGAGGCTTGGTGAGCATATCTGCTGGATTCTCCAATGTATGAATCTTCTGAACGGTTATATCTCCTGCAGTTATAACATCTTGAATAAAATGGTATCTGACATCAATGTGTTTGGTTTTGGCATGATGTGTATCATTCTTGGTGAGATGGATTGCACTTTGACTATCTGAGAACACAACGGTCTGACCTTGTGAAACACCAAGTTCCATAACCAAACCTCGTAGCCAAGTAGCTTCTTTGACACCCTCTGTGGCTGCAATATATTCCGCCTCAATCGTAGATAACGCATCAATAGACTGAAGCGTAGCTTTCCAACTGATAGCACAATTACAAAGAGTGAAAATATAACCGGAAAGCGATCGACGTCTGTCAAGATCACCACCATAATCAGAATCTACAAAGCCCACAATGTCAGTAGATGCAGAAGAATTTCGATCAAAAACCAAGCCCAAAGACGAAGTACCCTTTAGGTACCGTAGAATCCATTTAACGGCGTTCCAATGTTCCTTACCAGGGTTATGCATGTAACGACTCACAACACATACAACATGAGCCAAATCAGGTCTGGTGCATACCATAGCATACATAAGACTTCCAACAGCACTAGAGTAAGGAACTTTTGACATATAAGCCACATCAACATCAGACTTAGGGCATGAACCGGAGGGTACCTTAAAATGTGCACCAAGTGGAGTAGACACAGGTTTACAATTGGACATATTGAATCGATCAAGAACCTTCTCAACATACTTTTTCTGGGATAGATAAAGTTTACCCGCTTGACGATCCCTGTGTATCTCCATGCCAATAATCTTCTTTGCTGCACCAAGGTCTTTCATCTCAAACTCATTGCTTAGTTGAGACTTCAAGTTATCAACCAGAGACATATCAGGGGAAGCAATGAGCATATCATCAACATAAAGAAGCAAATAGACAAAGACCCATTAGAAAATTCTTTCAAATAGACACAGCTATCATACTGGCTTCTTGAGAATCCTTGCCCCAACATACACGCATCAAACCGCTTATACCATTGCCTTGGAGCTTGCTTTAGCCCATAAAGGGATTTTTGTAGACGGCAGACACAATGTTCCTTCCCAGGAACTTAAATCCCTCAGGTTGGTACATGTAAAGTTCTTCATCAAGCTCTCTATGTAGGAAAGCAGTCTTTACATCAAGTTGCTCCAACTCCAAATCAAAAAGAGCAAGAAAAGCAAGTAGAACACGTATAGAAGTATGACGAACAACTGGAGAAAAGATCTCGTTAAAGTCAATACCTTCACGTTGATCAAAACCTCGAACAACTAACCGTGCCTTCCACTGTGCTTTCTCAACCCCAGGAATGCCTTCTTTCTTTTTGTAAATCCATTTACAGCTCAATGGGTGTTTACCTTTCGGCAACTCTACCAACTCCCAAGTCTCATTCTTATGGAGACTTTCCATCTCTTCTTGCATAGCAACCAACCACTTAGACGAGTTGGCACAGGAAATAGCCTCAGAATAGTAGGATGGATCACCATCAACCTCCTGTGCAACTGAAAGAGCATAAGCAACCAAGTGGGTTTCATCATCACTAGCATACCTAGCAGGTTTTTTAATTGTCCTCCCAGGCCGATCTTGAGCAATAGAGTACTCTCGTTGTGCCTCGACGAGAGGTGCGGTACTTGTAGATGCATCATTTTTAGTATTACTATCAACAGTAGTAACACTATCATTAGGCCTGAACTCAAACTCCACCTTCTCACCAGTACTCTGTGTCTCACCTATACTGGGAACTTTTCCAGAAGAAAGTAGTGCATTTTCATCAAAAGTGATATCTCGACTCAGAATGATTTTCTGAGAATCAGGAGATCACCATAGGCGATACCCTTTTGACTCAGAAGCATAACCAAGGAAAATGCATTTGACAGCTCTCAGGTTTAATTTACCCGTACTGGAATGAGAATATGCAAGACATCCAAAAACTCTTAAAACAAAGTAGTCAACAGGATTACCTGACCAAACTTCCTCTGGAATTTTGAAATCAAGGGATGAATGTGGAGATCTATTCACCAAATAGCAAGCAGTAGAAACGGCTTCGGCCCAAAAATCACGTAGTTTCCATAACCCAGCATTAGAGAGCATACAACGAGCTCTTTCCAATAGTGTCTTGTTTAAACGTTCGGCAACACCATTTTGCTGGGGTTTACCAGGCAAGGTCTTGTGCCTGGCGATTCCATTTGTCGCACAGAAGTCATTGAAATCTGACTCACAGAACTCCAAGCCATTGTCTGTCCTGAGCTTCTCGACTTTTTTCCTTATCTGAGTCTCAACAAGTATTTTCCACTTTTTGAAAATAGGAAAATCCTGATTTTTGTGTTTCAAGAAATAGACCCAGACCTTACGGGAAAAGTCATCAATAATAGACATGAAATATCTACAGCCTCCCATAGACTGGAATTTAGTCAGTCCCCATAAATCGGAATGTATATACTCCAATACATCTTTGGTA